GTGGATTCTGGGATTTAGTTAATGGTAATGTACCAACGTAGGTTTCTTAGTTTTGACAAATGTATCACAGTGATGTAACATGGTAATATTAACGTAAGCTAAGGCTGGGTGAAGGGTACTCTCCGTACTACCTTTGCCAATTTTCCATAAATTTTAAAGTATTCTAAAATAAAAAAGTTTATTTAAAAAACAAAACAAAACAAAAACTGAATTATCCTGAATTCTAGAAGAGACCCAAGGGCTGAATAAAGGCTTCCTGCCTTCATGGCGGTGGTTAGCTGCTGTTGAGCTGACTCTGACTCAGAGTGACTCCATGTGTGCAGAGTAGAACTACTCCATATGGTTTACCAGGCTGTGACCTTTCACAAGCAGATCGTCAGGACTGTCTTCCAACGTGCCTCTGGATGAGTTGGAACCTGCAGCCTTTTGGCCAGCAGTCAAATGCTTAACCATTTGCGCCACCCAGGGACCCCCCCCTTCCCACCTTCAGCCAAGTTAAAGTCCCAAATCTTCTATAAAAGGTCCAAATAATACTAACAACTAACAGTACTTCTTATTCTGTGCCGAGCACTCTTGTATGCGCGTCACATGTATTCATGTATTTAATCATCACAACAACCCCCACTTTTTATTTCCATTTTACAGATTAGGAAACTGGAGTAAGTAGTTGTCGGGTAACTGGTCAAGGTGGCGAAGCTAGTAAGTGGTAGATTCAACTTCAAGTCCAGGAAACCCAGCTCTGTCACCCACTCTTAACCATCACACTAGATTGTTTTCCTCTTGCCTAAGCAACAAACATCTCCCCCATGTCAGCACTCTGCACTTGGAAACCATTTATGGAATGAAAAAAACTGTGAGTGGTTGTGTTTGCTTCTGAGACGTTCAGTTGGAGATCAATAACCACACATTGTATTTGCAATATTCGCCCTGAGGGTGAAAATGGGTGTGTCGTTTGCAAAAGTAAACAGGGCAGCTGTTAATTCTGGGTTCTCTCGCCTGATATCTTATGCTTCCTTCAGTTCTGAAGCCTGGCATGTCTTCTCGGATGGACAGCTGTCACCAGACCATCAGTAATGGCCAATGCAAATTCCTTCTCTTCTAATGGAATCTATGTTTTGGTGAATACAGGAGTAGCATATAAATTTTTTAAACATGAACATATATTTTCTATTTAAAAAGAGAGAGAGAGAGAAAGATAGAGATATAGAGAATAAGAGGGAAAAAAAGGAAGAAATAAAAAGAGGGGAAGAAAGGAAAGAAGGAAGGAAGGAAGACCCTCACAGGTGCTAGTACATACATGTTGTTGTCGTTATTGCTGTTGTTAGGGGTCATTAAGTCTATATGGACTCAGAGTGACCCCATGTGACAAACCAGAACTTTCCCATAGGGTTTCCATAGGGTTTCCAAGGCTGTGATCTTTACAGAAGCAGACTGCGGGGTCTTTCTCCTATGGCCCGTTATAAATCCTAGCCCTGCCATTCACAGCTCTTTAATCCTGGACATATCGTTGACCTTCTCTAAGCTTGGTTTTCTCATGCGCAAAATGAGGATACTGGCAGGGCCTACCTCAGGGTGTGGCTATGAGGATGAAACAAGGCCACGCCAGGGAAACCAAGGGCTTAGCACCCTGCATAGCAATAGCACCTCCTCTCTGAATGTTAGCTGTCATCAATAATGAGCACTGAAAATAAAGACCTACACCGATAAAGAAGAGAAATCCCGGGGCTCAACTTCTTTTCCCTACCTATTTAAGTGGACAATGTAAGTAATTATTATCCATTGTGCGTCTGCAGATCAGATATCTGGCAGCCAGAACAGACTACGGTAAAAATAATAAAATGGTGGAAAGCGCTCCAGAGCTTTTGTGTTTGCCATCTTGACTGACTTGAAGTGAAGAAATAAAAATTGCTTAAAGATTTTTCATTTCTCTGGTATAAAGAAGAGGAGGTGGCAATAAGACGAGAAATGGATCCAAAAAATGTTGCTTCTAACATCTATGCTGTTTAAAAGGCAAACACCTTTCACCCCCTCTGCACCCCCTGGAGCATTTTAGAAGACTCTGCAAAGCCCTCAGACATCTGAGTCATCAGCTGTGCAGGGTTTCCTAAGCTGTGCAATGAGAAGTTGCCTTTAAGCTGATCACCTTACCTTCTAAGGAACAAAATATTAGACTGATAATGAATAAGAAGGAAAATATGAACGGAGACCTGTAATTATCACCTGAGTCAAAATACACTGAAAACTAAAGGCATTAATATCTTCAGGGTGTACAGTCATATATATAATCCAACTTGCAGTTCAATAGTCAACTTTTGTCATTTTGGATGAAATGAACTATTCCACGTGGACAAGCCAGTTAGCCAAGTAGAGACAAGTTTCATAGACGGTAGTAAACATGCCTGGGCACTCTGCTAGTAGAGGTTAATTCCTTTGGCTTAGCCTAGGCCTTCTTTTAAGATATCAGGTTTTACCATGCTTCAAAACCAAAAACTAAACCCGTTGCCATCAAGTTGATTCTGACTCATAGCAACCCTATAGGACAGAGTAGAACTGCCTCGTAGGGTTTCCAAGGAGGTGGATTCGAACTGCCCACCTTTTGGTTAGCAGCTGTAGCTCTCAATCACTGTGCCTCCAGGGCTCCTACCATGCTTCAGTATGATTTAATCTATTTACATCTTCTCTCCTAACTCAAATTATATGAGAAAATTGAGCGACATGGGGTGGTTATAGGATGAGAAAATAGGGAGGGCGATTTTAGAAAGCGGTGTACTGACAAGATGTGTCCACCAGTCATAAGTGCACTGAGAAGCTGGCACAGGTGGAGAGCTGGGCATGAAGGGAAGGAAACTGAACTGAGAGTAGGTGAAGGGCACAGAGAAAGAGAGGTGGGTGTGCACTGCTCCGAGCACCAGGCACAGAATGTGTGAGAATCCATCATTTCTACAGCAGGAACACACACAGTAGCAGGGATAGTGTGTAGACCCAGCACTTGTGTTCCAAAAGGATGTTTTACTGAATCAGACTCATACTGGCGCCAAGAAATTGAGGACTAAAATAATCTTTTTGCACCCTGAATTTACATTCCTAGAACCAAGAGATGATTATTTTCCCTGTCAGACTGGCAAAACTAAAAGACTGACAATCAGTGCTGGAGCAGGTCCATGGAAATCTACATGCTCGGACATCATTTTTTGGGGGGACAGCAATTTAGTAATTATCCAAATTTAAAATGTGCATAACTTCTGATTCAGAAATTTCACTTCTAGGAACCCACCTTGCAGAAATATTAGCACAAATGTACAAGATACATGTGCAAAGATATTCAGTGTGGCATTAAGTAGAAGACTGGAGACATCTAAACAATTTATCAACAGGAAGATAGTTAAATCAATCATGGAAGATACATAAATATTATGGAATTCTAGACAACCATGAAAAGCTATGCAATGTATCTACACGTATTGACTTGCTTGGAAGGAGGTGTGAAAGTGGTTGAGTAAAAAAAAAGTTGTGAAATAATGTTTATGGTATGATCCAATGTTTGCACTAAAAGATGGATGGATATGAGGAGGGAGGGAGGGTGGGGAAAGGAGGAAAGGAGAGGGGGGAAGTCAGAAAAAATACGAATTAATGAGAGAGACACATGTACATCCAACAAACCATCAGTACTGATTATCTATTGGGCTGGGAGTGAGGAGAGGTGGGAAATGTACTTTCATTTTAAAATTTGTACACACTTGGATTATGTGAATTTTTATAAGGATAACTGCTTTATGATTAAAAATCATTGCAATTTTTTTTTTTTTAATTGCGTATAGTGTGTGTCCTCCTTTCAAGCCAAGATGGTTAAAGTTGTGTGCCAACCTGGCTGGGCCACGATCCTCAGTGCTTTGACAGTTATGATGAGATCTGTTGTGAGCAGCCAATCAGTTGAAAGGGAGTTTCCTTGGGGGGTGTGGCCTGCATCCAATATAGGTGGACTTTCTGTCATTGCTTATGGGCTTTTGCTTGCTCTGGATCCTACAGCTGGCTCCTGCTCATCTGACCTCCAGTTTTCAGGACTTGAGCTAGCAGCTTACCTCTCATCTTACCTGCCGATCTTGGCATTCGTTGGCCTCCACAGCCTGTGAGACAGAGGCCTGCTATCTGACCTTCCAATCTTGGATTTGCCAGCACCTGTGGCTGTGTAAGTCAGGAGAAGCCTCCTGCCTGACCCACAAACCTGGGACTTTCCAGCCTCTATACCGCATGAGCCATTTCCTTTATATAAATCTCTCTCTATGTGTGTGTGTATATATATATATATTTATATACTGCACTGGTTTTGCTTCTCTAGAGAACTCAGCCTAAGACACCAAGTGAATGCTGAACTTCAAACACGGTGGTGAGTTTCTAAGCTAGTCTTCCCCTAGCTCAATGGGTAAACCTTGGCTCATCACTTCCCCTCTGCACTTCAGTTCTTCTCTCAAACGGGACTGTGATTAGCCTTCTAGGAATATGTGTAAGAAATCAATTGAGTTAATTCAAAGAAAGCTCTTCTCCTGAATCAAAGAGCCTCCTTCAAGTCTCTAGATCAGTGGTTCTCAAACCTCAGCTGCATCAGAATCTCCTGGAGGGCTTGTTAAAACACAGAGGAATGGGACCTATCTCAGAATTTCTGATTCAGGAGACCTGGGGAAGGGCCTGAGAATTTGCATTTCTAACCCGTTCCCAGGTGATCATGATGCTTCTGGTCCAGGGACTTTGAGAACCACTGCTCTAGGGGAAGAAAAGCATTCGTGAAAGACAAACAATAAGGTGGGCCCTGGTGAGCCAGATTTGATAAGGACCAGAACCAACTGTGGTTACTTCTTGTTCCCACCGGGTGAACAGGTTCCTAATCCACAGAACCTAAGCTCTCTCCAGCATCAGCTACCGGCAGACGCACTCGCGAGACTGCAGACACAAGACATCGACACCAAGAAAGACAAGCCCGGGACCCCTGGGAGAGGAAAACTCACCTTCAGAGAAGATGACGTGGTCATTGCACTCCTCAGCGCTACAGGCACACATAAAGAAGGTCTCACCAACCGTTTTCTTCTCCTTCATAATACACTTTGAAGAAGCAGTATCTTCCAGGACAAATCCATGGTAGGGGAGCTTGGGGTCATGGCAAATTGTCTCTAGTGTTATGTTTTCATCATTCTTTCTCCTAGGGTGCAAAGGGTCATGGGGGAGGGAGAGAGAGAGACAGAATGAATGAACATGGTTTCTATCTGGACTGTATTTCATTTGTAAAGTTGTCTCCAATAATGGCAGCGGGTTCCAGTGGTCTAACATGAGCAGGCTGCTCTACAGTCTCTTGTGCTTCTTCTACTCGTTTTCGTTTTTCCTTTGCTTATGCTCAGAACTCACTTATGATTATAAATGGGAGGGCTTTCCTTGGGGACTGTCCTTCTGGAGAATTGCACCTATTCAGTCTTCATCAAGTCATTAAAGGAGAGGGGCAGGGGAGAACAGAAGATTCCCAGGTACTCAGGATTACTTTAAACCTTCCGTCCTGAATGCACTGCAGGGCTTACACTGCATCCCGAGTTTATTTGGTAGAATCGGGCTCATGTCTAGCTAAACTCTTCTCAAAGAGCACGCGTGGGAAAGCAATCACAGTTCCTTTGCTTTTGTTTGCCGGGCCCCAGGGCACTGTGCAAGGGCATATTCCATGTCAGCAGCTGGCTGTCTGAGAAAAAGGGAAGAAACCTCCTAGATGGAGAATTAGTTTCCCGAATTCTGGATGGGAACAATTGAGGAAAAAAATATTAAAACACGTGGGAAGGAACTGCAGGGTGTTCCTCATGTACAGTTCAGTGAAATACTTGACATTTACATCCCTTCACATCCCATATTTGGAGCCTGACAGCTAAGGACTCAGAGAATCGTTCAAGTGGCACTGTACTTGGGCCATAGGAAATGCTCTGTTGGCTGTAACAGTACATTACCTTTAAAAAATGATGTGATTAATGTCCAATAATATAATTGAAAAAGCCGAGATAAAAATCTGGCATCCTCCGAACTTTATTTGTCCGCCTACTTCCCTCTGCTTTCCATATAAACATGCCATCCTGAGTAACTCTCCCCAACATCAAAGACAGCCTGACTTCCTCCCTCTCGCCTCTGTCCTTAGCAGATGCAAAGTACCTGTTTCTTTCTTTTTTTTTTTTTTTTTATTGTACTTCAGGTGAAGGCTTACAGAACAAATAGCTTCTCATGAAACAGAAGTACACATGCTGT